GATAATAACATGGCTTTTTTTACTCTTCCTGGGAAGGATGGTTAAGCTTTGGTGTGATGGTCAACTGCTTTCTGTGCACTTGCTGCTGGACCTATTTGTGGCTCCATAGGTCTCTTTGGGCTGATGTTAGTGAAGGACCTTAGAGGGTTTGAAGGGATTTAGTTGACCCTGTGTTCTTCTTACCTGTGGAGACATTGTGTTAATAATTGATGATGCATCATAGAACACACTACTATTATTAATGTAGCCATTAAGTCACACCTTTTCTTTGGTCTTATTCAAGTGTGATTTGCAGGTAGCACATAGGGAGTGTTTCTGTGAATGTGCCAGCCACTTGCGAATGATGAAGTGATGTGGCTTTGATGGTTGTCATTATAGTTCTGAGTTGTAAAGCACAAGGCTTGTGGAAAAGTCAAGGCTCTTCCAAATTCCTACTTGGTTTCCTATAAAACCTTCTAGTTTTGTCAGTAGTATCCTTCAGCAAGGAGTCATTCAAGCCATTGACTACCTGTATCTTGTACTCAGGGCTGGCCACTTGTTCCTGCTTCTGCCCTTGTCCTCGCTAAGCAGCTATGGGCAGAATAGGCTGAGAACTTAAGCTGTGTGCCGTTTGGAACACCAATTTAACCGTTTCTTGTCACAAAAAGCAGCACTTTCTCCATGCCCACATCTTCCTTGGTGCTCCCACCAGTCTTTGCAAGCTCAGTTAGCCAAACAGATACCAGACCACTGCAGAGTCACCTACAACTAACCTAGCCAGGAGAAGTAAATAGCTTCTCCCTGGGCAAGGGGGTTGATGGAGCTTGTGGAATAATCCAGCCAAGCTGCAGGGCTGGCTTGAGCTGTGCAGCAGAGAGATGAGAGGATGGGTACTGTAGAAGCTACTCTTGTAGGCAATGTGCTCTTCATTCCATTCAGCAGAGTGTTTTAATTTGGCTGGTTTAATTCAGGCTCCTTGTGACATTGGGCAAACGTTTGTTCTGGTGGGAGGAGGCAGAAGACCTCAAGAACAGGAATGAACCCTACTCCAGTAGTTTTCCAAATCATAGATTCATGGAATGGCTTGGGTTGGAAGGGACCTTAAAGCTCATCCAGTTCCAACCCCCTGCCATGGGCAGGGACACCTTCCACTAGAGCAGGTTCCTCCAAGCCCCTGTGTCCAACCTGGCCTTGAACACTGCCAGGGATGGGGCAGCCACAGCTTCTCTGGGCAACCTAATGCTCAAGAAGTGCTGAAAGATCACCAGCTTCCTCCTCTCTGGAATGGGTTGTTCCTAGTAGTGCAGCTTATTTGCTATGGTACATAAGTGAGCCTTGAAGAGCCTCTTCTTGGGAACTCATCTGTTCCTTGTACTTGGTGCAGACAGTGCACGGACCATAAATTCACATCCATCTGCTTGCTGGGTAATATGGGATTTACTTGTTGTGCCTTCCTCTTCCCAATTCTTTTTTGGGGGGCTATTTTGAAAGCTTGGGTGTAACATACCCCCAAACCAGACTGCTTCTTCCAATCCCCACTGTGAACACTGGAATATGAATGAATACTTATTCTAAAATTGGCTTTGATGTAGTGCATGCCTTTAAGCAAAGGCACATGGGGAATTTGTTTTGGACAATGAATAGAATTCTCTGGGGATTTGTATTGTATCTTGTAAAGAGGGCACATTTACCCAAGAAACAAAACTGTCAACTCCTGTGTTTTCCCAGAGAGCTCCTGTTGCTTTAATAATGCACTTATCTGCGACTCTCTTCAAGTATCAAAAGGCCAATTACGTGGTGCCTGGAGAGGCCCAGGGAGAGCTGGGTTTGTGCTTGAATTAATAGATACAGGCTGGTCACAGCAGGTCTGATGTCCTCCCTAGCTCACCACTGTACGTTTGCAGGGCAGAGACAGCAATCATTTGCTTTCATCTCGCATCTCCTCTTTGCTCAGCTGGAGGGGCTCTTAGCAGGGCTGCATGGTTTCTGCTGCTGTTTAGACAAGACATTAAAGACAACTTTAAATGAAACCCCTTGGAAACAGCAATCAGGAATGGCTTGTGACAAGGCAGGGGAGGGGAGGCCTCATGAAGGAGGTGGAAGTCATCTTTTAGGCTGATGTTTTAATGCAAGAAGTGTCTTATTTTCTGACCTTCAGTTGAATAATAAAGCCCACCCCATCAAACATCACTCCCCCCTTTTCCTCAACACAACAGGCTTCATCCTGGATTCAATAGCTGGGGTTGTGGAGTTGAGTATAGATTTCATCAAGTTGAGTCTTGCTTCTCTCTGCAGGGGCTGCTCTCTCAAACAGGATCCTCTTACAGCCTTTTGAAAGGGGAAATCATCAGGCCAAGTCAGGGGTCCTGTGTGAAACCAGCACTTATGTGGAGATGAGCAGATGATCTGTGCTTCATTATTTGTAAAGGCTGCCAGTGGAGAGCTTATTTATAGAGGAAGAGTTTCATTATAACAGCATTGCTTACTTCAGGCTTTCTCCCAGAGCTCATTTCCTTTTGCTTGGTGGGTTTCTTCTTGATTCCATTTTTGTATCTTGACGATGAACGCTGTTTTATCATTCCTGGAGACAGGAAGGAGAAGAGGCTCTGGACATAGATTCTGCTTTTGGAGCTAGGACCTATGCAGCTCTGACGTTCAGGTCATGGTCAGTACTGTCTGAAGGGGATTGCTTTAACACTTGAGCCTCCATAGGATCCCTCAGTTCAGAACAATTGCCAGAGCAGCTCCTTCATGCACTGCATGTTGCTGGCTGGTTTGATTCCCATGGCTCAGTTATGTAGTGGGTACAGAGCCTGGTTTCTGTGTATTCAGGCTGAAACTGCACTGCAAATGTGTGTTGCTTTTGCAAAGCAACTTGTTAGGAGATGGTTTTGATGACAGCATTGTTGGCATGCTTGTGGGGAGTCTTCTGTCACAGGAGTGTGTTTCTGCTGACCCAACACAGCCTGCCTTGCCTGGAGGAGCTCTTCCATTGCCTGCAGAGAGAGCCCATACACTGTGTAAAGGGAGCTTGCTATTTCAACCATCCTGGCAGGCTTTCTCTTGTAGTTCTGGGTGTGCTGGGTCTGTAACCTCTTAAAATGGCTGCTACTTCAGCAGCCTCTTTGCCTGCATCCTTAAAGCTGGAGGTAGAACAGCTTGGCGACAGGTTTTTGTGTCGGGAACACTCCCCGAATGCTTTTGCACTGTGTCTGCATGTGGCAGCAGGCTGAGAGGGCCAGGCTGGGCTTCCTGTGCCAATGCACCATCCACATTGTTGTGTGTATCCTCTTCCTCCTGACCGTGGTGTAAGGGTATGGCTATGGGACATCTGTTTGGTTGGCCTGATGGACTATAGCTCTTCAGTGTCTCAGGTCCTTTCACAGGCTTGGAGGTAACAGACTTATTTCTAGGTCTAGACGCAACTCCTTGAACTCCCAAATAATAGAGTGGTTTGGGTTAGAAGGGACCTTAAAAAAAACCTGCTTGCTGCTCCTCTGCCATCAGCTTTTGGCTCAAGTGCTAAGACTGCTTAGAATCACAGAATCCTTGAGGGTGGAAAAAACCTTTAAGATCATTGAATCCAAGCACTGCCAAGGCCACCACTAACCCATGGCACTGAGGCCTCGTCTCCATGGTGTGTGAGCACTTGCAGGGACGGTGACTCCAGCACTGCCCTGGGCAGCCTCTTCCAATGCCTGAGCACCCTGTGGGGAAGGAATTGTTCCTCAGCTCCATCTAAACCTCCCCTGGTGCAGCTTGAGGCCGTTTCCTCTTGTCCCATCCCTTGTTCCTTGGGAGCAGAGCCCAGCCCCTCCTGGCTCCAACCTCCTGTCAGGCAGTTGTAGGGAGTGATAAAGTCCCCCCCGAGCCTTCTCTTCTCCAGACTGACCCCCCCAGGTCCCTCAGCCGTTCCCCATCACACTTGTGCTCCAGGCCCTGCACCAGCTCCGTTGTCCTTCTCTGGCCCTGCTCCAGCACCTCAATGTCCCTCTTGTAGTGAGGGGCCCAGGAATGAACACAGGATTACAGGTGCAGCCTCACCAGTGCCCCGTGCAGGGCCCTGGCCCTGCTGCCACACTGGTGCTGATACAGACCAGGATGCCCTTGTCCTTCTTGGCTGCCAGGCAAAGGTACTGCTGCTGTGATTTACCTCCATTTATTCTCATCTCAATGATAACTTGCTTTGCCTCCATGATGAGAGTGCAAACTCTCCAGCTTCCCTGGAACATCTAATGTCCCCCTTCCAGTGCTCTAGTACAGCTGATGTCCCCTCTCCGAGCACTCCAGTCCATGCAGTAGGCTCGGAACTGCTCCTTACATGCCAACTCTTGTAACCTATACAACCAGCCCAAGCTGCTGAGATGCTGCCAGAAGGAAGGGCTTCCTGCTGTGTTCCCCAGCCACAGTGAGGTGCAAATCAGCCCTCCAGAGGGATAACTTGGTGTGATATTACTGTGCTTCTTCAAGCCCTGGTTTGGGAACTGTGGCTAAAGGCATGTCCATGCTGCTGAATTTTGGGTAGTGGTTGAGTAGTGGTTTCTGGCTTTGTTTTTGGAGACGGGTAGATGATGCTTTTGCTTTAATGAAGTTAAGTTCAGCTCTTGAAGTCTAAAGATGTGATTTCATTTGAATGGTTTAATTTAATGTTGTCATTAGCTCAGTATTTCATGCCTGAAATACTTCATGTATTTAATAATGTATTCCTATTTTGGCATGAGATTCTAGTGAGTGATTGCTATATGCTGTGGTTAGACGTGTCATCTCTTCCTAAAACTGGGGACAGGGGTGTGTAGGGGAGAAGAGCTGGATGAATCCAGGTGCTGTTGTGCTGTTGAGATTATGAGCCTAGTTTAAATAGCCGTTATGGCATAGTGGTTTTTGTGGGTCCCCCCTGCAACTGCATAGCTCGGTTCTTTCAAAGAATGAAGTTTCAGTCATTGTGTGGTGAAAACAAATGTAAAGGTTTCCATAAAGAACAAAAGAGCCATGTTTCTGACTGCCCTTTCTGCTTTTTCTAGCTTCCTGGTCGCAACTTCAGGCAAGGCTACAATGCTGATGTTGGTGACAAGTGGATTTGGCTCAAGTGAAGTCAGCTCCCTTCAGACCCCTAACAGCAATGGACCACAGCACTTGAGTGAAGCAGCCGAGTTCAGTGCGTGCCTGCTCTCCATCAGTTGTGTAGCACGAAGAAAACACTGGTTAAATCATCTTCCAGTTTAGGAGAATAAGCCCTTAGAAGGGGAATCACTTTATTCTGCTTTGTTCTTCCCTGATGAATTTGGGGTGCTTTGGATGTTGGCTGGTTTATGTGTGATAGCAAAGTGATCTGGGATTACAGGGGCTGACTTGAGATCAGCGCTGGACTTGCTCTTCATCAAGGCTGTGATTTATTATCCAGGATTCTTGTTGTTTTGCTGAATCAAAAGAAATTAAACCTGTCTCTTCCTGGCTCTCACAAGTGAATTTCTTGCTGTGTCATGCGTGGGGTTTTCTTAGTTTCATTAGAAGAGTGCACATGCTAAGAAACCCCAAGCTTGGATAGTGTTCTGAAAGCCTCTTACTGGACATCACCATCAAAGGAGGAAAGCAGAATGTTCATTGAGAGAAAGGAATAAATGTTGATCTCAATTGAAACAGTATAAAACCCCCGCCAAACTAATCGCTACCAGTTGTACTCCGAGCTTCTTCCATTGCATGGGCATGACATGAAAATGTTTGTTGGGTATGAGAGACAAATGTAATTATTGTTTTTGCAAGTCTCTGAAACTCCAAGCTGGAATTCTTTGTGAAGAGATGATTCATTTGGTATGAGTTAGTCCCAGAACTGAGGCATTTTGGCACGGGTTCAAGCAGTGCTGTCCAGAGTTAAGCTGCAGTGATTCTGTGTTTCCAACAAGGGGCTGACTCCTTCCCTTACTGAGTAGAAGTGCTGCCAGGCATTCCACAGCTTTCCGTATCAAAACTAAGATGAAAAGATTCTTTCCTTGGGGGCCTGGTTGGATACCTGAGCAGTGGGATAGAAATGTGGCTCATCCCACTGATCCCTTAGCATTTTCTTTCCAGGTTTTATGGCTGACTGCTTTGATGCCACAGGGCCAATCCTGTGCTAATGTAGCTGGTGTCCTCACAGTGATGAGCAAGTGCTGGGGTGCAAGTGAAAATGCAGCAGATCTGATGCAGTTTTGTAGTCCTGTGCATTTCTTGAACTGCTGCAAGATGATTTGTGCCTTTTCACCTTCCAGAGACAGGTTCTTGGGGCACTGGACCTGGTGCAGCTCAGCAATGGGCTTCCTTATCCCATGTCTCCCGCAGGAAGGTGTATCTTGGTGCTCTCATGCCTGAGGAGCTGCCAGCCTGAGTGGCTGTTGCCTTCTCCTGTGCAATGAGATCCTGAGCAATTAGTGTTAACTGTTCTTTCCCTATCTAGAGCAGCATCTGTCAGCAGTGAGTAATGAGCATGGAGATGAAAAGAACATCTGCTGTGGCTTTAGGTTGCCTTTGGAGCAGCCCAGCTCTGTTTTTACAGGTGTCTTCCACCTCAGCCATGCTGTGTTCTCCAGGTACTGTAACTCACTTGGGTGGTGGATCTCCTAGAAGGTAAAAGCACTGTTTGGGCTGGGTGTAGTGCTGAGGAAGCTCTTGGCTTCAACTTTGCCATAGTGGGGCGTGCAGAGCATTCCTAAAAGCCTGCTCCAGCAGCACACTGAGAGCTGACCTGAGCTTTGGATGGAAAGGACTTGAATTCCAAGCAGGAAAAGCAGCGGGATAAGACAAAATGTGTGTTGAGATTACTTCTTTTTTTGTTCTAATCCGGGGTTTAACTCTGCTTTAGAAGTAAAACTGTTTATAAACTGAATCTGTAAAGGAAATGACTTTCTCTCCCCTGGCTGTAGGAAGGAGCTGTGTTCTTCCCTCCTTCCCACTCCATCACCTCAAAAACCCATCTCTTAGCAAACCAGCTGTAAAGATTCTGCCTTTTGAGGACTGTGCTGTGCCAGTTGGATGAATCTGTCTTCATGGGAGGCTGGAGAAGCTAAAATGGCCCAAGTCCTCTCTGCTGTTCTGCGTAGGTGCGCGTGTGATAGCATCTGTGGTCTGTCCTCTTATCCTGAGTTCTCACTGCCTGTGTTAATGTGTGGGGAAGTCTGCCTCTTGCCTGTCATATCCTGTGCTTGATTCTGCCTGCTTTACTAAGGCAGATCCCAGGAGAATGGTGGTGGTTCTGTTACAGCCATCAAACCATGGGCAGAACCATCAGTGTTCATGGTGGCTGCAGTCCTGCAGGTAACTCCACCTTGGATTCACTTTTTGGTTGCATAGAAAGGGGAGATGGGTGGGAATGGGTCCTACCACTAAAATGAAGGCTTGACATGCTACAGTCTCACATGAGGTGGTGAAGATTGCTTCTCAGCCTCGGAAACCTGTGAGTTCATGCCAACACCCATCCCACTCTAAGAACTCTGCTTACGGCTTTTCAGGTTTGGTCTCTTCATCATCCACCCGTGGCCTTTCCTAGGGTTGACTGGTGCATGTTTGTGCTTTCCCAGTATGTCCATTACAAGCTTCCTTGTCAGCTGGGGGACAGCTGGAACTGTTATGGGTATGACATGGTCAGCCTCTGTGCTTATCTGCGCGTGTCTGAGCCTGCCTGTGCTTTGCACTTCACGTTGAAGTATTCAGGTTGTCCAGAGAAGCTGTGGCTGCTCAATCCCTGGCAGTGTTCAAGGCCAGGTTGGACACAGGGGCTTGGAGCAGCCTGCTCTAGTGGAAGGTGTCCTTGCCTGTGGCAGGGGATTGGAACTGGATGAGCTATAAGGTCCCTTCCAACCCAAACCATTCCATGATCAATGAAAAGGATTGTCTCTCCTCTATGTATTCATAATTGATGTGCATGTGATGCTGGCCAAGCTGCTCAGAGGTGCATGGCCTTGGGAGCTCCCATCCATGTTGGTCAAAACAGCCCCTCTCTGACTGTGTTGCTTCCCATGACTCTGCTTAGCTTGGATGTGAAATGAGTGCTTTATAAATCACTGTCTGCATGATGGAACAAGCATTCCAAGCTGTGTTCTCTGCTGCCTTCCTTGGGCTGAAGGGAGCTACAGCCTGGCTTTCCCTGGCAGAAAGGTCCCATGCAGTGATGAGAATGTGCCGTACATCCTTGCTGCAGTAATGAGCAAAGCCTTGGCTCCCCAGCAGCCTGCTTCACCCCACTTTGGTGGTGTGGGTTGGAATTCCTCTTTTACACTAGAGGAAGGGGCTTTCATGAGCAAGAGAAATGTTTTCCCCTTGCAGCTATTCGGTGAGAAGCTCTTAGAAGCCTCTATTCCCCCTGTAAAGAGGTCTGCATTCATTCCATAGCTGCTGCTCAGTGTCATGGCAGGTGGCAAGATGTAGGGAACAGGCAGCTTTTTGCTCCAGTTCCCACCTTTCCAAGTCTTTATTTGCCAAATCCATGTTCACAGCGAGATCAAACCAAGCCTGTTGCTGCTGGTGCCATGTGATTCTCCTGCAGGTGCTGGAGGCCAGCCTAGCTGCTTCTCTATCTGATGGGCCCACTCCTGGTTCTTTGATCCCTGCTGATGTTCTCCACGCTCCCAAACAAAAGCTGCAGGTACAAATGATACCTGAACTTGATGTGTCTGAGAGAGGCAGACACCACACCTCATTCCCCCACCTGCCTGTGGATCACCTCTGATCCACATGGAGCATGGCCTGGAGACACAATCCCAGACACCGCTGCTGCTGCATGGGGGATGAGGGCTGTGTTAGCTGGCACACAGGATGCTGCACCTCCAGGACAATGTTCCTGTGTCTCCACACATTGCTGTAAGCAAGGGAATGCGAGTGTGTACCCAACGAAGGGTTGCTGGTGGATCAGGCTGCATGTGTTTATCTTTGTTGGGTGCGGGTAGAACTCTGGCTCCTGTTGTCCTCAGTGGCCAACTGGAACAGTCCTGGAACTTGGGCTGGGGTAGGCAGGGCCTGGACCTTCAATGAGGATGGGAAAGCAGAGCCAGTGTGGTCCATGAGAGGTTTCACAAATCCCTGCTGACTTCTCCATAGGGTGAAGTGATCATCTGAGTGATGGATACTGCAGCTTGACAGCAGAAGGGAGGTGAGGGACTCAACCAGAGTGAGGTATCCGAGGTTAGGGGGGATTAGCAAACCCTGCTGGCAGGGCATTGAGCTCAAGCATTGTGTTCAGCTGACTTGGTCCAGTATCCAGGTAATCCTTGCATCAATCTGTCCCAACACAGGAATGATAGTTCTTCCCCTATGGTGATGAAGAGCAGCAGGGTGGAAGACTGTGTCTTCAGTGTTGTGGGTGCAGCTTACATGAGCCAGCGTGTCTGACAGCTCCTCATGAAAGCATCCCTCAGGAGACGAGCTCCCAAGTCCTGTCAGCACCTCCAGATCCTTCCGCCACTCCTATGGATATCCCTGAGTGTTCCCTGTGCAAAGCAGCACCAAGTTGGTGAGTCCTGGGGCTGCTCCCATGTAACCTCCTGCTTCCCTTTGGGCTGGTGAGGTCGGGTGAAGCACATCTGGTGTTGCAGCAGGCACAGCGCATCGATCTCTGTACTTTTGTGTCACAACCTCTCCTCTTTGTCCCTGGCCATGGTGATTGTCACCCCATGCATTGCTGCTGGAGTCCCTGTGGGGCTGGTTTTCCCCTTGGTGTCTTGTTATTCCTCTCTGCAGGGCTTCAGCCTTCCTGGGAGGAGCTGAGCTTCATACATGGGCCTGTGGGTTGCTGTGAGGTGCGCTGGGGCAGCCAAGGCTGTGAGCATGTAGGAAGGGCCCTTTACTCCATGCTTTTAACTCTGCTTTGACTGCTGACACCCAGAACAACCCTGGGATTCCCCATTTTATAGGATCATAGAGTCATGGAATGGTTTGGGTTGAAAGGGACCTCAGAGCTCATCCAGTTCCAACCCCTGCCACAGGCAGGACCACCTTCCACTAGAGCAGGTTGCTCCAAGCCCCTGTGTCCAACCTGGCCTTGAACACTGCTCTAGTGGAAGGTGTCCCTGCCTGTGGCAGGCATTGGGACTGGATGAGCTTTGAGGTCCCTTCCCTTTCCAGGGCTATGGGCCATGAGGAGCATCACCTCTGTAAGTGCCCTGTGTAGTGGTGGGGAGAAGCTGCCTGGATTTCAAACAACAGCCTAGAGGCTCATGGGCCCCCCTAGGGAAAGCGCAAGGAACGGGAAGACCCTGTATGGTTATGAATGCACCCAGCTGTAGCCCTGTGCTCCATCACCTGCTTTCCTGTGCTCTGCTGGGGTCATGTACCCCATTACCTGCCTCTCCCTTGTTTAGCTAGGATGTTATCTGGAGCTTGCTCCGGATCTGGAGCAAAGCAGCATTCCAGGTCAGCCTGGCCAAAGGGGAACGAAGTGATATTAAAGCGTGATGTTTCATTGCTGTGTAATTAACTTCAGCTCCTTTCCAGCTCCAACG